TAGAAATGAGATAACACTGTAAAATCTACCTAGACATCATCAAAATGATTTCATGAACCATCTTTAATACATGTAAAAGTTTATCTTCTGTTTTTTTGAGACACATGATTTATCCTATTTTATTTTTTATTTTAATTTTTTTTTCTGTCTTATTGAGACAGAGTATCTCTGTAGCCCTAGCTGGCCTGGAACTCGCTATATAGTCCAGGCTGGGCTTGAACTCAGAGATCCACCTGCCTCTGCCTCCTGAGTGCTGGGACAAAAGGCGTGTGCCACCACGCTTGGCGATTTATTCTATTTTAATGGCATATATTAAAGGATTAAAATGTGGAGGGCAGAAGGGATTTGGAGGCCCCCCCCAAAAAAATGTGTGTTTATTCTAGAACTATGCAGACTGCAGGCATTTCTATTTCTTATGCAGGCTGGTACAGAGTAACCTCTGGGTGAATAAACAAAGATAACTTATTGTATAAATTAGAAGTAATATGACCTACTTCAGTTTGTAAGGGAAAAAAGGAATGAGTACCAACTGTTTTATAAAACTGAGTTACTTCAGAAATCTGCTAATTGGGTTGCCTTTCCCAAAATACCAAAATTTCAAATACTTCAGTACTTGGCTTTGACCTATTTATAGTGGTGTTTTTCTTTAGCAAAGATACCGTTACAACTTTGTTCAGTTTTTTTTTAAAGGGTAAAATGTCTTAAAATGCAAATAACACCAAATTTAGGTCAGATACCAGTGTCCTACCGCCTTTGGTAAGTCATTCTAAGAAGAAATCTGTTTTATTTCACAAGAAAATCACTTGATTGTAAAAAGGTCTAAAGTTTGTTTTCATGAAGTTTCAACTCAACAGTGTGTACCAAAGCACTTTACACCTATTTCTTTTATAGAACTTATCATATTATATTTTAAGTAGTATTTTACTCAGGAAACTTTGAGCAATTTAATTGCAGAAAATCATGTTGACCTCTGACTTGCTAGGTGTGTAGTTTAGGATGACCTTGATCTCTTGGTCTTCCTGACTGCCTCCTGGGTGGGAGTGTGCTCTGCCACACTTTTTTTTTTTAAAGCTGACTTTTATTTGTCTTATTGAGACAGGGTCTTCCTGTAGCCTTAGCTAGCCTGGGACTCACTATGTAGACCAGGCTGGCCTTGAACTCAAGAGATCCGTCTGCCTCTGCCTCCAGAGTGCTGAGACTAAAGACATATGTCATCACACCTGGCTCTGCCTATACCTTCTAAGTACAGGGATTAGAGACTTTGTCCCCATACCTGGCTTGATTAGTTTTTTTCTTTTAAAGATTTTATTACTTGTATTCATGTGTATGTATGTGCCTGAGTATATGTGTGGGCACATGTATGTGAGTGCACATAGGTCAGAAGAGAGTATCAGGTCCCCTGGAGTTGAAGTTACAGGTGGTTCTGAGCTACCCAACATGGGTGCTGGGAACAGAACTCTGGTTTTCTGGAAGAGCAATAAGAGCTCTTAACTGCCAAGCCATTTCACTAGCCCCCAGGCTTGATTAGTTTTTATGGTATATAATCAGCTAAGACCATCTACCAACAAACTGAAAACATGATTTGGGGGTTATGTTTGTTTTCAGAAAGAGTCTTTCTGTAACTCCAGGGGTCTGGAACTTACTATATAGACCAGACTGGCCACAATCTCACAGAGATCTGTCTATCTCAGTCTCTGTGCTGGGATTAAAGGTGTGAGTCACAGTGCCTGGCTCCTTTTAGGTTTTCTTAAGCCTGGCTTATCTCTACCCTCTACGTTCTTCCTCATTACTAATATTGCAGATGTGGGTCATCTGTTCAGCCATGAAGCTAGTTTTAAGGTAGACAGATACATTTAATAAAACAATTTCAAATAAAGTTCAGAGCATGTTATCAGGACAATAACATGGAGAAAATATACAGAAAATTATGGCTCCTTTTAGGTTTTCTTAAGCCTGGCTTATCTCTACCCTCTACGTTCTTCCTCATTACTAATATTGCAGATGTGGGTCATCTGTTCAGCCATGAAGCTAGTTTTAAGGTAGACAGATACATTTAATAAAACAATTTCAAATAAAGTTCAGAGCATGTTATCAGGACAATAACATGGAGAAAATATACAGAAAATTACTATTACTGAGGGTTGTTTATTCAACAGTGTCAAGTTAATAATGAATGGAAAGGACTGAGGATATAGCTCAGTACCTCGGTATTTACTTGGCATGCATGAGGTCCTCGATTCAATCTCTAGTACAAAAACATATAAACAACAACAAAAAGAACCCTGAAAAAAACTTAAGTGTAACACAATAATGAATGAAGACTAAGTAGATGATTTAAAAAAATATATTAAGGTATGAAAATACTGTAGGTTGTAACTGGACCACATTGATTAGTGTTTGGTGCTTGGGGTACAGGGGTGCACCACATGGAAGACTCTATTTGGAGAATCTAATTTATGTTAATAGGATTAGTTGCCTACCTTACTTTAGGTTATTGAGTAGGTACAGGCAGTGTATGTTTGCTGATGATCTAAAGGTATCTGAAAAAAATTAAGGAAAAAGTATACAGTGACAAATTCAAGGACTACATTCATACTATTAACAACGTTTATCACATCTACAAAAGGATTTTTAAACATATTTGTTGTATCTCATGAGAACTAAAAGACTTTTCCTACCTTTGCATTTCCTGGGAAGGTATTCCTTAATAAAAAAAGTGCTGATACTGGAGAAAAAAGAGACAGAAAATCCAAACCGGGTAAAAAACCAAAATTCCATTTCTTTATAGGAAAGAGTTATAGTAATTTATGATCAGGTATAGATGATTTTCATATGGTAATATCACAAGCTTGAAATGAAGCAGAATTAAACAACTTATATTAATACATTTTTACATTATTTAACCAAAGCTTTTTGAAGGAAGGGTTCTTATTAAGCATTTAGTGAAATAAGGCAGACCCTTTCATGGTGCAAGTAGCAACCATAAGAATAGTTTTGAGACTTCTATTTCACAAATAATTAGTATTTGCATAGTTTTATTCACAGATACACACATTGTCTTAGAGAACTATATTTTATTTTATTTCCATTATGAATTATGGTTGTTCTGTGACTCCTTAAAAATAAGTAAAAAACAAGGTGATGTGCAAATTGATAAATTAATTCCATTTAACTTATAAGTTATGAAAATACAACATGGTTAAGTATTTCTCTGATTAAATTATACTGTGATTTACGAAGGGGGAAAAAGTTATTCTTGATATACAGAAGACACTTAGAAAGTAGTTAAAAAGAATAATAGCTTAAAAGTTTTGCTATCAACACATGGAGCAAAGGGGGATATGTCTAATAGGCTTAGTGCACCAGCTGTGAAGATGAAAATAAACTTTTCTATTTTTTTTAAATCTTTATGAGACAGGGCCTTCCTGTAGCCCCAGGTGGCCTGTAACTCACTATGTAGACCAGACTGGCCTCTGCCTCCCGAATACTGGGATTAAAGGTGTGTGTCACCAAGCTGGGTTGGAAATTCAGTATTTTCATTATAAGACAAAGAGTAGTACACATTTATCTGTTTTATGAAAGTAAAGGCTGGATCTTGAGTTCTTCATTATTTTCCCTATGTTTCCTTAGAAGGTGAGCAGAACTTGCTGGTTTTCCCAGACTGAGGTACCTGAGGCCTTATCTAATTTGGAATCTCAAAGTTACTTCACATTCAAATATTACTTTAAAATTATTTTACAATCTACTTTACAATCCAATGTTATTATAAGGAAGGCCATGATAAGCTTACTTTGACTGGCCAACAAAATACAGAAAGTTGAAATAAAAGAACTTGCCATGTGCTCAAGAGGTTTTAGATTGTAAATTTTCAACTACAATGCCAATACTTATTAATATAAAATCCAGTAGTTTTAAGGTTGTATTTAAGACGATTAGCTCCTATTTAGTATGTTCTTTAGCAAGTAATATCAACTTTGGTGAAGGATCTTTTTCCCCAATATAAACATACCATTTGTCACTGGTTGTTCTTTTATAGTAGCTTCAAAAAAAGGATAACCTTGCTAACAGTTTCCTAAGAAAATTTCTAAGGACATAATTCTCTTGTAAGGCACTTCTGTTCATTTTCAAATACACATTTCATAAAATTTTAAAAATTTTCTTTATAATTAAGCCTTTGTAAGTTATATAGTAATACTGCTACTTCAAGTAAAACTATTACATACTCAATTTTGTCATGACTGCCAGAAGGATCTTCACCTCTGAAAAGAATGCAGGATGGGCAACAAGTTCTTTGTAAGAAAAACTTAAATGCACATATTCTTGGTGTATTTTAGAGAACTGGAAATGTTTTATCTTGTTGATCTTCAAGAATTTTGAAATCTTCCAAAGGAAGATTGCTTAAGGCCGTTGGTAAAAGGTGTTCTGATATGCCCTTAGGTAACATGTTATTTGCTTCTAAATTCTTCACAAAGCAAGTGGCTTTGATCCATCTTCGAGTTGCTCTGCGTTCTTTTTGCAGGCACGTTTTCATTTTTCTTCTTAAGCTTGCTATTTCTTTTTCCAGTTTAATTATTCTCTTTTTTGCCTCCATCGGATTCCTAGAAGCACAACTGTGTTCAAGTAGTACTTGCTCATTACTGTTTGATTTTAAATTAGATGATCCGCTTGCAGTAAAACTGTCGTTTTTCTTCAAAAGATTCCTTGACTTGAGTTTCATTGACTTTATATGGGTACAAAACTCAAAAATAGTTGGGACAGCATCCATTTTAAGTCATCGAGTTTGTCCTGTTAGGTCAAAACAAGAGGCTTCAAAGTGCTTTGAACAGAGAAAAGTGTGTTTTCCTGGCACGAAATTTTTGCGCCTAACCAGGCGAATCCATTCTTTTCTTCTTTTAGGATCCAAAGGAAACCTGTGGAAGCTGATGTTAATATGCTTGTTGTAGGCAGCAGCACAGCCCGCCGTGGCACAATTGGTCGGCCATAAATAAAATATTTTTAAGTGTCCCATTAATTTTAATGTGTCCGTGGTGGTGGTAAGGAGTCACAAGTCTGGTTGTAACTTTCCATTTGGAGCTTATAGGACTGGATGGGGCCAATGAGCAGTGCCAAGGAGCTGGATCATCAATATCAGGAGGTCACTGCCAGGAAAGATCAAAAAATACCTCCTGCCAACCAAGAATGAACATGACATTAAGCTAATGAAGGTGAACATGTTTCCAGCTGGGAACTTGATGAATCCAAGGAGCAGGACCCTCAAAACAAGAAGATAATTGGTTAAAGGGATTGACAATAGGGGCATATGCCAAAGGAAAGCTCAGGGTATGGTTAAAATGCTGATGGTTGGCAAATTGAATCTCATCTTTCTCCAGAATACCAAAACACCAAATCCATATTCTTATGTCTCACTCGGGTAAGGGAAGGCAACCGACAAGTTCAGAAACACTACCTAACAACCAAGCTGGACTGCTGAAACAAATTTACAGAACAGGGGCTAGAGCAGAAAAGTTGATCTCAATGAAATGGAAGGAGGGAGGGAGGGAGAGGGAGAGAGAGGCTGAGGATAAAATACAGTGCAAGGACAACATGTAAAAAATACCCACAAAAATGGGACTGGAGAGAAGTTCAGTGGTGAGGAACATTTGCTGCTATTCCAGAGGACCTGAGTTCCGTTCCCAGCACCCACATCAGTTGGTTCATAAGCACCATGATACCAGCTCCAGGGACCTGATGCTCTCTTCTGACCTGCTTGGGTGCTTACACTTGTGGCAGACACACACATGCATACATACATACAGATAAAAATAAATTTTTTCTTTTCAATATATATTTTTATTGAATTTTGTGCATTTCATACAATAAATCTTAATCACATTTGGACCCCTCCCCTATCTGCACCCCCCATAGCTCCCAAATGGATTTCATGCATTCTGTCATATATGTTAAGGCTTATAGAGGCAGATCTGTGTTCTCCATGTCCCTTGGTGTAAGTTCACAATGGAAGCCTGTTTAGCCTATCTAACAAATTCTAGCACATCTGGGGTGCCATCCATCCTCCCGTCCTCCTACCCACCCATCTGTTCATCTACCCATCCATCTATCCAAACTTTTGAGACAAGGAATGTATACACCCATCCATCTATCCATTCTTTTGAGACAAGGTCTCACTATGCAGCCCTGGCAGGCCCAGAATTTGCTATGTCACTCCTTAAAGAAGACAAACTCTCCCTCACTCATCTTAATAAAGAAAACCCATAGAGAAGAAAGAGACATAAAGTAAGAAATGTACCAGAAAGGAAGAGAGTCAGATGAAGAAAGAATGAAGAGAGGGTAAGAGACAGAGATGAATGGTCTCATCTGTGAAGACAGAGAAATGTGAAGTGCGATGTGACAGTGTGAAGAGCAAAGGACGGTGCCAGAAAGGTGCGTGCCTTCCTGCAGCGAGGATCCAGTCTCTGACCCTCCCGTCTCTCTGTCACACGGAACCAGGAGACATCCAGCTGGCACACGGAGTTCCACCACCAGAACCTCATCATCTCCATGCGGTCTCTCTTCTTTGCCGGCACAGAGACCAGCAGCACCACACTCCGCTACAGTTTCCTGATCTTGCTCAAATACCCTCATGTTGCAGGTAGGTTGGAGATAGCCAGCTGGGAGGGTTTTCTTACTCGTTCTGGGCTACAGAGGTTGGGCATGGATGAGAGATATGACATCGGCCCTTTATTTCTGGAGCTCTGCATGCTTTCATCTAGTTATAAACTAAGCCAGCCCTACTGGTGGTGGGTGAGTGAACACTCCGCTAACCTTTTCTTCCACTGTTTTCTCCCCTCACTTAAAGGTTGACCCATGCACCCACCCATCCACCTACCCATTCATCCATCCACCCACCCACCCACCTACCCATCTACCCATCCACCCACCTATCCATCCATCTGTCCATGCATCCATCCAGTCACCCATCCATCCATCCATCCACCCACCCATCTATCATCCATCCATCCATCCATCCATCTACCCACCCATCCATCTGTCTAACCATCCACGCACCCATCTGTCTATCCATACATCCACCCATCCACCCATCCACCCACCTATCCATCCATCCATCCACCAACCCAGCTATCCATCCATCCATCCATCCATTCACCCATCCATCCACCCACCCATCTATCCATCCATCCATCCATCTACCCACCCATCCATCTGTCTATCCATCCACCCACCCATCTGTCTATCCATACATCCACCCATCCACACATCCACCCACCTATCCATCCATCCACCCACCTATCCATCCATCCACCCACCAACCCATCTATCCATCCATCCATCCATCCATCCATCCACCCACCCATCTATCCATCCATCCATCCATCTACCCACCCATCCATCTGTCTATCCATCCACCCACCCATCTGTCTATCCATACATCCACCCATCCACCCACCTATCCATCCATCCACCCACCTATCCATCCATCCACCCACCAACCCAGCTATCCATCCATCCATCCATCCATTCACCCATCCATCCATCTACCCACCCACCCCACCCATCTATCCATCCACCTACCCATCTGTCTATCCATACATCCATCCACCCATCTATCCACCCACCCACCTATCCATCGATACACCCACCCATCTATCCATCCATCATCCATCCATCCATCCATCCATCCATCCATGCATCCATCCAGTCACCCATCCATCCATCCATCCACCCACCCATCTATCCATCCATCCACTTACCCACCCATCCATCTGTCTATCCATCCACCCACCCATCTGTCTATCCATACATCCATCCACCCATCTATCCCTCCACTGACCCACCTATCCATTGGTACAACCACCCATTCATCCATCCATCATCCATCCATTCATGCATACACACATCCAACGTCCCATCTATTCATCTACTCACCTATGTATGCATTCATCCATCAATCCATCTATTCATTTTTTTTGAGACAAGGCCTCAGTATGTAGGCCTGGTTGTCCTAGAATTTGCTATGTAGATCAGGCTGGTCTCAATCCCACAGAGATCCAGCTGCCTCTGCTTCCTGAGTGCTGAGATTAGAGGCGTGCACTACAGTGCCTGGCCCAATCTATCCATTTAGCCACTCATCCACCCATGTAGTCATCCATCCACTCATGTACCTTTCTCCCACTCATATATTCATCTACCCACTCATCCATACTTTCATCCATCTCTCCATGCATAGATTAATCATTAATTCATCTATGATTCATTCAAGCACATATATTTCATTCATTCATTTGGATTAATTAACTCATTACTTTATTCTTTGAATAGTAATCATCGAATGAATTATTTTTCATTGATTCATTGGTTCATTTACACATGCATCTACCCTTCTACCTACAGGTTTCATTCCTCAATCCTTCCATCAAATGGCCTTTGAGTTCGTCCTTCATTTGTCCACCTGTTCCTCCATTTATCGATGCATTTAATAATTCATCCATCTGTGATCTATTTATCTTTCAATCCATCTATCTAGTTATTCCTGTGTTTACTCATACCTTCACTAACTTACTCATTCATACAGTCTTCTGCTGTATGTAACATTCACTTGATTGAGTTCATTGATGTATTTGTCTATGAATCCTTTATGGATTTATTAATTGATTAATGTAATGGAAGATATATTTAATACATATATCTATTATTTTGTTTATTTGAGTCCTTTGTCAATCTTCCCATTAACTAATTAATTAATGTATCATTGCTTGATTGACTTATGTGCTCACTTTTTTTGGTCTTTTTGAGACAGGGTCTCCTTATAGTCCCAGCTGGCCTGGAACTCACTGTGTAGACCAGGCTGACCTCGATCTCACAGAGATATACCTGACTCTGCCTCCCAAGTATTGGGACTAAAGGTCTGCACCACCACTCCCAGATGTTCCCACATTTTTAAAAATTGAAAGTGTTTATTGTTATTGTGAGCGTACATGCCACAACACATGTGTGGAGGTCAGAGGCAACTCTGTGGAGTTTATTTTCTCCTTCTACCTTTATGCCGGTTCTGAGGATTAAACTCAAGTCACCAGGCTTGTATGGAAAGTGCCTTTACCAACTGAGTCATCTCATTGGCCCATGTATTCATATTTTGCATGCAGCTGTAGATAAAGTTGATCTACTTTGCTATTATATTCCTGAGGACCTAGCTTTAGGTTCTCATCCTGGAGTTTTAAGTACAAAAATCCAAGCCAAATCATGCCGTGTGTCTATGTGTGTGCGTCTGTGAATGTGGGACGGCAATTTGTAACATTTATTACATTTCAAAGAATGAGAATTCTTACTAATTTTTACCTCCAACCCTCACTCCAGATTGTTGCTCTGAGGGATACTCATGAAATAACCCATTCTTTGGTTTTTCTCTTTCTCTTTATGGAGCTTATGGGGATGAGCTTCTAATATAGCGTTAAGCATGGCCACTCAGAGACAGATGCCTAAAGAGCACCGAACGCATAGAGGCCAGGAGTGGGCTGCAGGTTTCCCGGGAGAGCCACCTTGCTGTGTGGGCTTTTTCTGGGTTATGGTATCACAGAGAACATTGTAACTGCCGCAATGCCTGTGAAGCGGGTTCGCTGTTCTCCTTCTCTGTGCAGAGAAAGTCCAAAAGGAGATTGAACAAGTGATTGGCTCACATCGACCCCCAAACCTCGATGACCGCACCAAAATGCCATACACTGAGGCAGTCATCCAAGAGATTCAGAGATTTTCAGACCTTCTCCCGATTGGTGTGCCACACAAAGTCACCAAGGACACTCTATTCCGAGGGTACCTGCTCCACAAGGTGAGACCATGGGATTCCACATCTCTTTGGTAGAAGCATCCTCCCTTCTCCTAAGTCCCCATCCCAGCCTGTTGGTAGCTTGTCTACAGAGTTTCCCTGTTTTTTTTTTTATTTATTTATTTATTTATTTATTTATTTATTTATTATTCATTCAGTTTTTGCATATGGCATCAGGGAATGGTAATATCTTTTTATCCTGTACTTCTCAGAACACTGAAGTATACCCCCTCCTAAGCTCAGCTCTCCATGACCCACATTACTTTGAAAAACCAGACACCTTCAATCCTGACCACTTTCTGGATACCAATGGGGCACTGAAGAAAAATGAAGCTTTTATGCCCTTCTCCATAGGTAAGATGGACCTGTGATTCCTTTCTGAGACTCTAGAGGGCAGATCCTTTCTCCAACATGTACAGTAAGGATCCCATTTAACCATTTAACGCCAGGGACTGACTCCAGAAACTAAAGGAGCATCTTTGAAAGGAGGACCTTAATAACATGTTTAAAATTCTAAACTTGAGAAAATTAATTTTCTTAACAAACAATAGCAACAACCAAACACCATCTGTGAACACTGCTGTGATCTGGGTAGAGTCTTGAAGGCTGCCAGGAGGAGGGAGGCATTTGGATTTACCCTTGAGCACTCAAGACGTGGGGCAGGATTTGACACACTTGTCTCTGTTTGCATTCAAGACTCTTGGGCTAAATCTTAGTCCCAGCACTCAGGAGGCGGAGGTAGGCGGATCTCTGTGAGACAGAGGCCAAACTGGTCTACCTAGTGAGTTTTGGGCCAGCTGGAGCTATGGGGAGACCCTGTCTCAAAAAGACCAAAAAATTCGTTAGAGAAATCAAATTTATTAGAAGTTATTTGAACAAAGAAGCCATAATGTTCAGAGTTATGCTGCCCAGCAATGTGGATGGGCAATGGATAGAGAAAAGGGGAGCTGGGAATATGGACACAGCCTGATTGGTTAAAGGTCCACTTTGGCTTTACTTGAGCATGCATGAATAGTTGGCATCCTGGCACAGGCTGAGTGCTATGATTGGCAGAGGTCCTGTTTATTTCTGGAACACTATAACCTCAAGTCAGTTTGCAGCTCATTACTTACTAAATTAGGTTAGTGTTTGTTATTGTTATGAACAGAGGCAGCCTTATGTCAAATTTAATTTGGTTTAAGAGGCTGAGACAAAAAGGCAGGAGAAGGAGGGAGGGGGGGAGAGAGAGAGAGAGCGAGCGAGAGAGCGATCTAAAATCACTTCTCTGCACATTTAGATACACAAACACAGAGGACACACATAGGAGTGTTTCCCCTCCCTTCCTCTCTCCCTCCCTCCTTCCCTTCCCCTCCCTTCCTCTCTCCCTCCCTCCTTCCCTTCCCCCTCCCTTCCTCTCTCCCTCCCTCCTTCCCTTCCCGCTCCCTTCCTCTCTCCCTCCCTCCTTCCCTTCCCGCTCCCTTCCTCTCTCCCTCCCTCCTTCCCTTCCCGCTCCCTTCCTCTCTCCCTCCCTCCTTCCCTTCCCGCTCCCTTCCTCTCTCCCTCCCTCCTTCCCTTCCCGCTCCCTTCCTCTCTCCCTCCCTCTGCCCCCTCCCTTCCTTTCTTCCTTTCTCCCTCTCCTCCTACTTCCTCTTCCCTTCCCCTCTCTTTCCCCTCATTTTCCCTTCTCCGCCCCCCTTGGATTTTAAAAGACAGGGTCTTGATATATAACCCAGGTTGTTTTGAACTCATGATCCACCTGTATCGTCACTTTCTCAGGTGCGGTAGGCATGTCCCATCATGCCTGGATCATAGAGAATTCTTAATATTAACCAGGTGGTAACCTATCAGTCTTCTCAAATATTGACTTTACCCTTACAACAGCCCTATGAGATGGGCACTATTGCTCTCATGATAGGCATGAAGACCACTAAAGATGTCCAGTTATAAATATGTGTGGACACTCTCATATGCTACTCCAAGTGGGTTCTTCCTTCTCTGGTGCAACGAACCCACCAGAAATCTAACACAAGCTACAAACTCTATTAAATGTAAACTTGGAACATCCATCTGGTGTTTTACACCTGTTTTTGAGGTTTTGAAAATTTCTTCATCGTTCTCCTGAATTGCTGGTTAAGAATACCACACATCCACTGCAATGGGCACAGCTGTCTGGGCTCAGGGATGGTACAGGAAAGAGAATCTAGGGCTCACATGACTCACCCTCTGTCCACAGGGAAGCGCATTTGTCTTGGTGAAGGCATTGCCCGCAATGAACTGTTCCTCTTCTTCACCACCACCCTCCAGAACTTCTCCGTGGCCAGCCCCGTGGCTCCGAAGGACATTGACCTCACTCCCAAGGAGAGTGGAGTGGGCAGAGTACCCCCAACATACCAGATCAGCTTTCCGCCCCGCTGAATGGGCAGAAGGAAGTGGGTCTGTGGAATCCAGAAGTGTTTCAGTTCTGTGAAGAATGGCCCCATCTTCCTGCCTCTGAGAGACCTGCTGAAACCCAGGCCCTAGGCGGCTGCTCACGTCTCCCCATCACACTGCTGCTCCTCCAAGCTCTAGGGTGTGCTCCTCTCCCATACTGATAGAACCAGAGAAAACAACCATGTGCCTGTGTTGGTGGAGACAGAGATCCTGGAGGCCACATCTCCTGATGAACCACTTCTCTCTTGCTTGTAGCAACCACAGTTCCCATCTATCAGCTCCCTGTGCTCCATGGTCTGTGCTAGGGGACTCTGCATATGGTCTAAAGTCTGTGTCTATGGTTGAACCTCAGTTGTATGTTTTTATATAAATGGGTAACACAGTGTGTGATCTTTTACGTCTGATGTCAGTGTCAGGTAGCTCAGGCTGGCCTCAAGGTTGCTATGTTTCCCAGGATGGCCTTAACATCCTAATCCTCCTTACTCATTCCCAAGTGCAGGCACTATAAGCACACGCCACCACATCCAGCTGTAAAACTGTTTTTCAAGGTGTGCGATTTAGTGTCATTCACAGTATTGTACAACTACAACTATGCAGTTCCGGGTGTTTCTGTCCCGCATCACCCCTGGACCTACTAAGCCGTCACTTCCCACTCCCCTCTTCCCCACTCCTGCAACAACAAACAAACAAGGCCCGGTTTCCGTCTATGGACTTGTTACTCTGTGTGCCTCATATAAATGGGGTCAACGTGTGGTCTTTTGTGTCCCGTGTGTTTTGCTTCACACAATATTTTTGAGGATATTTTACATTACGGAGCACAGTCAGACACCATCACAAACACCTTAGATCCTCTGTTTCCTGTTGTATCTCCCAGGAATCAAATGAGCACACGAAGTCTGACCTCCCTGCTCAGGAGAAGATTCCAGCTATTTTTGCATCTTGCTAGTCTAGATCTGGGGTCGCTCCACCTCCAAGGGCCATCTAGATCCTGAACCCCAGCACCTGCTTTTGCAGCATAGGGAGGAGAGCTTGGGTGTGGGGGCCGTTGAAATTCATAAAATCCAAAGCTGGGAAGGTTCTGGGGAAAAGATCAGCAATCAAGACCCTTGGGAAAGGAATGTGAGGGAGGCTTGTGTAAAACCACAGAGTTGAAGGTTTGGGTCTTTCCTGGTGAGGCTCAGGCAACACTGGAGGGTGTGATCCAGGTATGAGAGGAAGGCCCCTTCACTGGGGTCAGATGGTGAGATCTGGGCTCTGCCTCTGCAGCTTTGGGAGAAATATGGGGACGTCTTCACAATCTACCTGGGGCCCCACACTGTCGTATTCCTTTGTGGATACCAGGCGATGCGGGAGGCCCTAGTGGATCAGGCTGAGGCTTTCTCTGGGCGAGGGTTCATCGCCATCACTGATCCCATATTCCAGGGAACTGGTGAGGGGGGGATGGGCCCTGGGGACTGCAGGAGGGAAGACTGGGTGAGTCCTCTGAATCTTTCTACCACACCCACCCAAATAGGCATAATCTTTGCCAATGGAAAACCTTGGAAAGTCCTCAAGAGGTTCTGTTTGACCACCATGAAGGCCTTTGGGATGGGGAAATGGAGCATCGACGAGAGGATCAAGGAGGAGGCTCAGTGTTGGTAAAAGAGCTGCGGAAAACCCAGGGTGGGCCCTAGGGTCTGGGCAAGGGGTCAATGACACGGGGACATAGAGATGCAGAACATGGCTAATAGAGAGAGAGATGTGTCCAGGGAAAGGAGAGAGAGAGAGAGAGACAGAGAGAGAGAGAACTGAATGATGAAGATATAGCGTGTCCCTAAGGTGAGACCTGTGGGACCCTGGGACCTGGGGTGGAGGCTGCCTTGTGCCTGGTCTTATGGAGTGAATATTTCTACCACTAGTTACAAGAAAGATTTTATTTCCAGATTTTTGTGAGGTGAGGGAGATTTTTAAAACATAGAATGTCATCTCCCTTCTAGTGCCCCCCCTTCCCCCTTCCCCGGGGGAAGGGCTTAAGAAAATCATTAGTGTCAATTTGCAAAATATTCCCCAGCAAAGGCAGAGGCCAGGGTCCAGGAAGGAGATGGCCCTTGGAGGTAGAGAGACTCCAGATCCAGTCTACCCAGGTGGTAAGGAGGAGGGGGATGAAGAGGGGGAAGCCAGACAGCTCCATCGTCCTCTCTCTACGGCACATTTTCCTGAAGGTTGACCGGCCTGTTTTTTGTTTCTTGGTTGATGGATGGGAATGTGCTAGGAATAACCTTGACAAAGTTCCTGGTAACTCTCCAAAGGCTGCAGGGGGTCTCGTGTGGCAGGTAGAAATTTAATATCTCAGGGCTGCAACAGAAAGCTGGCTTCCCATTGGCCTCCAGCTGCCTGGAGATACCTTCAGGGTGACGATGCCAAACAAACAACAGTTCCCTAAGGAAGAGCGGAGAGGCCAGCAGTGTGATGTGTGGAGACCGAGTTTCAAGTGGTTCCACTGAATGGATGGCTTCTAGCCACTTTCAGGTAGAAGGTAGTAAGACAGAGTGATCAAGAGGCATTTCCAGTCAGAATTGGGGCCATCCTGAACCCCTTGGAGACGGGGATTTGCCCTTGGAATCAGAAGAAAGTGAGATATAAAAGACATAGAAGTCTGGTACATATTGAGTGACTTAGTGATAGCTGGTTTGGTCATTTATTTATTTATTTATTTGTTTATTATTCCTCAGCAAACATTCTGAACACCTGGTATAGGCCACCTGCTACTCCAGGTGCTCACAATACAGCAGTGAAGAAGAAAACAGGGTGGCCCTACACAAAGCTGGCATTGACGTAAAGGAAGGTTCTTACTAAAAGTCCTTCTAGGAAGATCCCCAGGAATGACAACCAATAGGTAACATGCAAAAATGGCATGAATCCTCTGTTGACCAGGGAGGTCAGGGTTTGAGTGATTGTGTGATATTTGGGAGATTTAAAGAGAAACAGAAGGGAATCCAAGGTAGCTCTGTTGGCTCATACAGCTCAGGGGACATGGGATGGGCAGGGGGGCTCTTGCTTACTGAGAAGATGCAGGTTGATGATGATAAGAAACAGGTTGATGGTGTGTGTCTGCGGTCTGCAACATGAGAAACCTCAAATATATATATGAAGTAAAAGACATCAGACGTAAAAGATCACACACTGTGTTACCCATTTATATAAAAACATACAACTGAGGTTCAACCATAGACACAGACTTTAGACCATATGCAGAGTCCCCTAGCACAGACCATGGAGCACAGGGAGCTGATAGATGGGAACTGTGGTTGCTACAAGCAAGAGAGAAGTGGTTCATCAGGAGATGTGGCCTCCAGGATCTCTGTCTCCACCAACACAGGCACATGGTTGTTTTCTCTGGTTCTATCAGTATGGGAGAGGAGCACACCCTAGAGCTTGGAGGAGCAGCAGTGTGATGGGGAGACGTGAGCAGCCGCCTAGGGCCTGGGTTTCAGCAGGTCTCTCAGAGGCAGGAAGATGGGGCCATTCTTCACAGAACTGAAACACTTCTGGATTCCACAGACCCACTTCCTTCTGCCCATTCAGCGGGGCAGGAAGCTGATCTGGTATGTTGGGGGTACTCTGCCCACTCCACTCTCCTTGGGAGTGAGGTCAATGTCCTTCGGAGCCACGGGGCTGGACACGGAGAAGTTCTGGAGGATGGTGGTGAAGAAGAGGAACAGTTCATTGCGGGCAATGCCTTCACCAAGACAAATGCGCTTCCCTGCGGACACAGAGGGTGAGTCATGTGAGTCCCAGGTATAGAGTCTCTTTCCTGTGCCATCCCTGAGCCCAGACACCTGTGCCCATTGCAATGGATGTGTGTGGGTTTGATTCTTATGATTCAAGAGGACGATGAAGAAATTCCAAAATCCTCAAAAAATGCAAACTATTAAGTAGATGTTCTAAATTCACATTTCACAGTTTACAGACTCCTAGATGAGCACTGGATGGTACTGAGACTCCTCTATGAGCAGACATTATGGCACATGGCTGTCTTCCTGGCACTTGGGAAGCTGAGGCAGGAGGATCATGAGTTCAGTACAGTCTGGACTATACAGCAAAAACCTGTCTTCAAAATCCAATGAGGAGAACAAGGAGGAAGAGGAGGAGGCAGGGGAGGAGGAGGAAGAGGAGGAGGAGGGGGAGGAGGAGGAAGAGGAGGAAGAAGAGGAAGAGGAGGAGGAAGAGGAAGAGGAGGAGGAAGAGGAAGAGGAAGAGGAGGTGGAGGGGGAAGAGGAAGAGGAGGAGGAGAAATGGAGGGTGGAAGAAAGGAGGAGGAAGAGGAAGAAGTGGAGAAGAGAGGAGGAGGAAGAGGTGGAAGAGAGTGGGGAGGAGGAGGAAGAGGAAGAAGAGGAGGAGGTGGAAGAAAGGAGGCAGAAGAGGGGGAGGAAGAGGAAGAAATGGAGGAGAGAAGAGGAGGAGGGGGGGGGGCCATGTCTTTGTCTTTAGGTCCCTTTTCTCTATTTCTTAAATTTTTATTTATTTATTTTATGTGTATGAATGTTTTGTCTGCACTGTATGTAAGTGCACCTGTGGCATGCAATGCCTTCAGTCATTAGAAGAGGGCACTGGATCCCACCCAACTAGAGTTAAGAACCATTATTAGCCACCATGTGGGTGCCAGGATCTGAACCGAGTCCCCTGCAAGAGCAGCCAGTGCTGTTACCTGCTGAGCCATCTCTCCAGCTGGTTGTGCCCATTTTCATCCTGCTTTTCTCCCTCTCCCTTCCTTGTCCTGCTCTCTCCTTTTCTTACTCCCTCCCCTCCTTCCTCCTCACCACCCTCCTTCTTCCATTGTCTCATGTTCACGCTCCAAGCCTTACAAAATGCCTCTTCCCGCCCTGGTCACCCTGTCTCCGCCTCTCTGTGCCTCCCTTCATTGTGGTCTTTGTTTCCGTTTCATCATCTCTCTACTTTTCACGTCTGTCCTTATTTCTCCACATCTCTACCTTTCTCTAAACTTAGGCTAGGACTATTGAACGGAAGCATCCACTTTTATCCCGTTCTGCTTCTTGTCCCCAACTCTGAAGATTAAATGAGGGAGGAGACCATCATATTGGACAGAGCCAGAACAGGGCTGAGCCTATGACACTATGACACTCAAGACTAGGCAGTTCTTGGCTGGGGTGCGGCTCAGCAGTAGAGCACTTGCCTAGACTCTACCAAGGAGGGGCTGGGGCTTGCATCCGCACTAGAGCACCTGTGTGGAATCCACCCTTGAGGAGATGGGGCCACGGCTGAGCAGTAGAGCCTTGTCTAGATCGACCAGTGAGACACCAGGGTCTGGCTCTTTGAAGAGAACTTGCCTAACACATGCAAAGTCCTGGGTTCTGTCCTAGCACAGAAAATAAAAGCCTAGAGAGTTTTTTCTGGGGATTTCATTTTTCCCAGAATACAGGACATCTGAGCATTGGGGTTTTCATGGACAGAGTGTGTAGAGTCTATTAAATTCAAAAATTTGGCTTAAGGCAGACTCTTTACATAACACATTTTAACCCAACTTAACAGGTAAGTGACCTTCAAACTAACTTGAGATTACATTCTGCCAACAAATAACAGTGTCTCAGCCAATCACAGTAGCCAACAAACACTATGCTGCCTCTTCTCCAGCACGCCCCAGTAAGGCCAAAGTGGAGCTGTCACCAACCAAACTACAAAAAGCCCAGACCCACTTTTGTTTATAAGCTCTGTCTGCTCACATTGCTGTGTGAAGTAACTCTGAACTTTCAACATATTCGCAAATCGTGGAGGAGTTCTTTCTTTAAATACGCTCAATGTGTTTTGTGTTCTTAAGATGAAAGAATGTCAAGTGCAGAGGCACGTGTGTCAAGGCTGACCCCATCCCTCAGGGACCAAGGACAAATCAGAACGTCTACCCCGTCTTCAAGACTCTATCCAGGTCATAGCGGTGCTCCTAATGTTATTTTCGTGTTGCTGCTGTTGTTTCTTAAGAAAATTAATTTGCTCTGGTTTAGAGATTTTTTTTAACACTTTTCAAAGTACTCCTTACAGGATTTATTTTATTCTCCAGCCCCTCATGTTGTTATCGCTAGGGTGAAATGGGATAATTCAAGCAAACCACTGAAATAGACTCAATAAATGTATTACTGTGACTGTGTCCTGGAGGATGGACTTGCTCCCCGGTGTCTGGGAAAGGAATCACAGGTCCATCTTACCTATGGAGAAAGGCATAAAAGCTTCATTTTTCTTCAGTGCCCCATTGGCATCCAGGAAGTGGTCAGGGTTGAAGGTGTCTGGTTTTTCAAAGTAACGTGGGTCGTGGAGAGCTGAGCTTAGGAGGGGGTATACTTCAGTGTTCTCAGGAGAAGTAAAGTACAGGATAAAAAGATATTACCATTCCCTGATGCCATATGCAAAACAGCAAATCAATGAATAATAAAAAATTAAAACAAAATAGTAAATAAATAAAATATGGAGACTGTAGAAAAGCTGCCAACAGACTGGAATGGGGACTTAGAGAAGGGAGGATGCTCCTACCAAAGAGTTTGGTGCCCTCTCTGTGAGACTGTCCCCACCACGCACTAGTCAAAGCAGGGCAGAAAGGTCCAATACCCACCAGCATGTATTATGGCCTAGGCCCCGTTCTAAGCTCTTTATGTATTGTTTTATTTAATTTTCCCACAGCATTGTCAAGAAGATGCAATTCTATCATTATACCATCTCCCTCCGCATTTTATAGATGGGCAGAGAGGTTAGCTAACTTGACCAGGGAAACACAGCTCCTCATGACTGGGGCCGGGCTTCAGACCCTGGGAGCCGAGTAGTAGAGCTGTGCAGTCTCCACGCCATGTCTCCTCCCAGGCCCCCATTCTGACTCTGAGACTAGTAAGAGTTAAGGCCTGCTGGCAATAATGGCGCAGAGAAGTGGCCAGTGGATCGCTCTCTCCACTATCTGTCAGCCTCCTTCCTCCCTCCCCTGATGGCCAGGCTCTGTGGGGTTCCAGGATTAGCTTTGCTGTCCTTCTCCCCTTCCCCTTGTATTTTCTTCATGTTGATCCTTCCCTCTCTATCTTGACATCCGCCCTCTCTGTGTCACCCACATCCTGTCTTTCTTTTTAGTCTCTGTGCCTTTTGCTCCCTTCCCGCCTCTGCAGTGACTGGGAACCAATAACTCAAGAAGAACACACAGCAAGGCGACTCTCCTGAGAACATTGCAGCCCACTCCCGGTCACCTACAACTGTCCTGTTTTATAACATCTGTCTTTCAGTGCCTGTGCTTAAGACTGCATTCAAAGTTCTTCTTGAGACTAGAGTGATGGCTCAGCAGTTAAGAGCACTGGCTGCTCTGGCAGAGGACCTGATTCGGTTCCCAGCACCCACACAGGGGGTAACAACAGTTTGAAATTCCAGTTCCAGGAAATCCAACATTCTCTTCCGGTGTCTCAGGGCATTGCACAACATGATATATATATATACACATATATATATATACATATGCAAGCAAAATACTGATACATATTAAATATACATAAATAGGCCAGACCTGGTAGTGCATGGCTTTAATCCCAGCACTTGGGATGGCAGAGGCAGGTGAATCTTTGTGAGTTCGAGGGCAGCCTGGTCTACATAGTAAGTTCCAGGACTATTGGGACTATAGGAAAACCCTGCTTCAAAAAAAAGAATCACAGATGGATGAATGAATTAAATTAAATGTAACCTTACTGGATGTTTAACAGCCTTCTTTAAGGCCTATACTAATATGGTCAGATGGACTTAAAGGACAGTTTTTGTCCCTTACCCTCCAATGTTGACCAAGTGCCATGGGACCATGGAACATCTCTCAAAATGTCCTGTAAATGTGTAAGTTCCAGGACTATTGGGACTATAGGAAAACCCTGCTTCAAAAAAAAGAATCACAGATGGATGAATGAATTAAATTAAATGGATAATTGGAGGAATAGCTGGAAAATTCAAGGATGGACATGATAAACAGTTGGTGGAAGGTTTGAAGAATAAAACTTGTTATAGTAGGATAAATGCATGTATTCATGAACCAGTGAATCAATGGCAATCAATTCATTCAACCACCACTGATCAAAGAATAAACTCATGAGTTGAATAACCAAAATAAATGAAGGAAATATATCTCCTTGATGATTAAAGGATCAATAAGTGCACAAATTAATTGGTCAGTGAATGATTAGATTGTTGAGTGGATGGATGAGCGGGTGGGTGGACAGGATGTATCATTGGGTTTGGTTGGACTGATGGTTAGATGAATGGGTACATATAAATGAACAGGTAAATAGATGGATTGATGATAGGTGGGTAGGTCACATAGATGGAACTGGTAAAATAAAGGAGCCAGGAGTTCCTCCCAAGTCCATGTGACCCCTGAGGTTCAGATCCTCAACTGATTTTACATGTAAAAATAAATTGATTTATTTGGGCCAACTGTATGGTCTTAAACACCCAAAAGGAAAGTATAACCAAAGAGAAAAGATGAATACGTGGGTGGATGTCTAGATGATGGGAGGGAATATGGAGGGATGGAGGGATGCATGGATGGATGTATGAATAGACGGACCAATCTTTACGTGATGGGAGAAAACAATGGAAGAACAGGTTAACAGAGTGTTCATTCACCCAACAATATGACTGGCTTAGTTTGGAGCTAGACCAAAGCCGGCAGACCTCCAGAAATAAAAAGCCAGTGTTGACTCTCTCATCCACACCAACCTCTGCATCCAAAAGGGAGTAAGAAA